AGGGCCAGTGAGAGACAGATAGTGGATGGGGCTAGAGCAGAGTGGTTGACTACACCAACATCCTGGAGAAAGAGACAAGAGTTGCCATTCCAACAAACACACTTCCAGTGGTTCAAGAGGAGACAATTTCTCAGAAGGTAGGATGGAGATTGCTAAACATCAGTGCCTTAAGCTCCTCATTGACTCAACTGGAAGTAACTTGCACTGCAACTTTTGAAGGTGACGAAATCCAGACTTGGAAAACCGCTCTCTGCTATGATGGTTGTGTAGAGGGGAAATGGCTGGTATCCAGACTTGGAAAACCGCTCTCTGGTATGATGGTTGTGCAGAGGGGAAATGGCTGGTAGCAGTTAGATGGACATTGCTTAAAGCTGTTGAACAAGGCTGGAATCAAGTGTACTGCAAAATTCATCACAAGGGAGTGGTAACAAAACTCAGAAAGAAGCATTTGCATTTTGATCCTTGTTGTAATACTGTAGCAACTGATGTGTTAGACATTATGGCTTCTTTTTCCTCATTAGACTTTGTTTTTGGTGAATAGCTGTGGAGTGTTAGTGTTGTTCTTGTAGCTGGCTAGTAGTGAAGGGGAGTTCCTTATCTCCTCTGTTGTGTATGTATCTATTTGAGTGCCCGGAGTGTACGATTATGCTTGAGTTGTTTAAATGAAAGTTATATTTGTCGTTGAAAAAGAAAGAAAGATAGATATGGATAATTTTTTTTTTTTCTTAAAAAGGAGGGTCAATAGTAAGTATATGGATAACTTAACCTGATTTAAATGTGGGTAAGCAAAATTGCAAGTTATTTTGTAAGATTATATCTCTGGAAAATGCTAAGGTCCCGTTACGGTACCATTCCATCAGGTGTGTTAACCGTTGGATCGCATGTAGTTTGTATAAGATAGATAATCCAAAGGTTTAAACACTTGACGGGATGGTACCGTAACGGGACCCTAGATTTGTTAGTGTTTATTTTTTTTATGTTGGACTATTTCTTTTATTGTTTACTTTGATTTGTTGGACTATGTTTGGATGATATATTTTTGCTATGTTGGACTGTATATGAGTTGATTTGTTTGTGTATTTTTGGTGTAGTTGGTTGTTCTGAATATTTGTAACTGGTTTTTAAATGGTGAAACAATAGAAAGAACAAGATTTTTTTTCATATAACAGTTAAAACGTATTTCTCAAATACGCTTTCCGAAACATTAAATATTAAAAAACTTATTTCTGTAATACGTTTTCTATAAAAAAAATAATAAAAAAAACTCTCAACTTATAGTATATAACATATAATATATAGTATATAACATATAATATATAACATATAGTATATAATATATAACATATGTATATAACATATAATATATAGTATATAATATATAACATATAACATATAACATATAACATATAACATATAACATATAACATATAGTATATAGTATATAATATATAGTATATAACATATAACATATAACATATTGTACTAATTCGAGTTCAATTGTACTAATTCGAGTTTAATTGTACTAATTCGATTTCGATTTCACTATATTTGAATTCAATTGTACTAATTTGACTTCAATTGTACTAATTCGAGTTCGATTTCACTATAATTGACCGAGATTGTACTAATTCGACTTCAATTGTACTAATTTGTTCGATAATGTACTAATTCGAGTTCAATTGTACTAATTATGGGTCGTATAAACATCATTTGCGACCGAAATTCGGTCTTCTTATGTGTTCATTACAAGTGGTACTAGGGACAGGATATCTGATACTAACTCTCCATAATGTGGTACTGACTTACACTATGACTGGTACTACTTTTTGTAAATGTTGAGCAGAATTGAAATAATCAATTTTTCTTCAAAAAAGTAGGTACTATTCGATCAACATCAGGTACCACGCAGAATAAGATGCGGTACTATGTTGCCCAGAAACAGAACACAGCAAAAGAAAAAAAAAAAAGAAAAAGAAAATCCGCCACCCACTGCCGGTCTGCGAATTGCCACCGCCGCCGCGCCACCACCGTCTCGGCACCGTCAACTGCAAATCTCTTCGTCAATTAGGTAAATGGCCTAAATAATTTTCAATTTTTTCAACAAATACGAATTTTCATAATACGTTTTTAGGTTAGGGTTGCTTGAAAATTTGATGTTTTAAAGTTAGGGTTACATTTAGGGTTAGAATTAGGGCTTGATTTGAACTATTGTTTGAATGAGGCTTGCAATTAGGGTGTAGGGAATTTTTGGAATTAGGACGTTAGGGTTTGGATTAGAACTTCGAATTAGGACTCGAAACTCTAATGTTGTTGAAATTGTGAAATTGTGAACTATTGTGTGAACTTAGATTTTTCGGAATTAGGACTCCAATTAGAACTTCGAATTGTGAAATTGTGGACTCGATACTCTAATGTTGTTGCCTTGGACATATGTTGAAATACTTGGTCAGGGGATGACTGGGAGGGCATTTTATGATTGGGTGTCGCCAGTCCATCCCCCGAAATTCGATCATTCGGGATAAGCGAGACTGGGACACACACTACAGAGGTCAGGGGATGACTGGGAGGGTATTTTATGATTGGGCTGCATTTCATATACCGTTTCTGAGCTCGTGGACCGAAGAAAGAGAACAACGTCTCCTCCCAGTTGCCCCTGTGTATGACTATCTGCAGCCGGAGCAGGGTTACCTTGAATGGTTTCACAGCAGGACTGTGAGATTCAACAATAACCCTGCCAATTACTCGGTGTTCCAACAGCCGGGCGGGTATCAGTCACATGTCGAGCGGTTAGGCTGTCAGGTAAATGTTCATTATTTGTGTTTATTATTATTATTATTATTATTATTATTATTATTATTATTATTATTATTATTATTATTATTATTATTTTGGTGTTTCATACTAATTATTATGAATTTTATTTACAGACTTCTGCACTACAAGGGGTTTATGGCGCATTACCCGATATTCAACCATTAATGCCTCAAATCCCTCCAGAAGCGCAGACCGGCTTTCAACAATCGTACAACTTTGCCTTCTCTTCTCTGACTGTTGGGGGTCAGGGTGTTCCACATGGGGGGCCGTCCAGTCAAGTTATCTCCCAGGACGAATACATTCGCCCTATGAGGACACAGTCACACACGGCCAAGCATCAACCTGCCCCCAACATTGGTGGGGGTAGAAGACCTCGGGCCCGTCCCCGCACTCAGCCGTCCGCCCAGCATCTCCAACCTAAGCAGCCCGAGCCTCAACAAAGTGAGATTTTTAAATTAACAATTTCTTTTTTTTTTTTCCAGTCCAATTTATGATTTCTTTTTTCAATTGAATTACTCAAATGAAGAAGATGAAAATGCGCCAGCTTTTCAAACTGACACGCTTTTCACACCTCAACCTTCATCTTCTTCTCACATGGTATATACTCGGAAGGGGTCTAGACTGCGCAGGCCTAGGGATCCATACACTCCTTCCTAGTTAGTTGTGTTGAATTTGTGGATTTTGTGTTCATTTTGAATTGTTGGATTGCTTGTATAAACCGAATTATATCGTTTTGTATATATTGTTTGTTCAACAAATTATTGTGTTTCATTTGTTTGTTTATAGTGTATGTTGGATTATTATTGGGCGAATATGTTGATATTAGTTGTTCGAACAGGTATATTTGGCTGTGAACAAGTATATTTGGTTGTGAAATGATCTCTAATAGATTTTTCTTTTGGACTTTTGCTAAATTATTGTGGTTGATTTTTCTTTCTTTGACGAATGGATTGATATGAGCTTGTGGAATTAATATTTGGTTGTGGAATCGATCTCGATTAACAAGTGTGTTTTTTAAATTTTTGTGTATATGTACTGTTTCTGCACAGTAAAACGTATTGTGAAAATACGTTTTTATTTTTTTAACAGAAAACGTATTTCAAGAATACGTTTTACTGTGCAAAATTAGGGCAAGATCAATTTGAGACTAAAATTAGGGTAAAAACGTATTTTCAAAATACGTTTTATATTTTAAAATATTATTTTCTGAAAAAATTTATTTTTAAGAATTGTAAAAATTAATTTTATTTATAAAACGAATTCCAGGAATACGTTTTATAATTAAAACATAAATGTAAAATTAATTTTAATTATAAAACGTATTGGTTAATACGTTTTATTTTTTTTTTTACTTTAAAACGTAATACCGAAATACGTTTTCTTATATTTTAATTAAGTTAATTACATTAATTAATTTTTTTTTACTGAAACCGTATTCCTTAAATACGTTGGTTTAGTGAAACCGTATTCTGTAATTACGTCTTTTAATTAAAAACGGTGCTTTTTATTTTGGTCGACACCTTTTTTTTTTCTTGTCCACTTAATTTTTTTTTAATTAAATAAATAAATCCTTTCTCTTCATACCGCCAACTAATATATATTATTCATAAAAAATAAAACATTAGTGAAGGAAACAAAATTAAATTATGTCTGCCCAAAACAAAAGAGGCATGAGAGGTTTTGAGTTGAATCCGTTAAATGCTCTGTAAACCTGAGCAGCAGCGGTAGTTGCGTCCAACCGCCCCTACTTTCACTATTTAACAAAACGCAATTTTCTATTCCTTACAAAAAAATGATTACATTTATTAATCACTCTTTTTATTCTCTTCACCACCACAAAGCTACTTATAGTACTCTCTCTCTCTCTCTCTCTCTCATTACCCCTTCACAAATCATATACCAGTCTTTTTCCCTGATTCTTTTACGGAAAAAAAAGATAGAGAAAAGTTGTGGACAAAAAAGAAACAAATAAGTAAGGGGTGGACAATAATAGAAAGGCCGTATTTAGTGAATACGGTTTTTAAATTTTTTATTTGTAAAACGTATTCCGTGAATACGGTTTCCTTTGTAAAAAAAACGTAAAAAACGTAGTTAAGGAATACGTTTTTTAATTAAATTACACAGAAAACGTATTCACTAAATACGTGCTTTCTATTTTGGTCCACTCCCCCCCTTTTTTTTTGTTTTTTGTCCACTTATTATTTTTTTATAAATAAATGTATAAACTACCCCTTTTTCCCTTCTCTCTCTATCCTCTGTTCTTGCAGGGCAGGACAGAGGAATTTGAATTAAAAACTCTTGCTAACTCTTTTTTTGTTTCTCTTTTTTTTTTTCTTACTATACATTTTTCTGACCTCTCCTGGAAATCAGAGGCCAAGGAAACTTACTTAATATTGCATATTATATTTTCTGAAAGTTATACATGATAATTGGTTCATTGTCTGGAGAGCATCCAAGTATTTCTTTATAATAAGGCCATGGAAGGTAAATTTGCTCAATACACTCATTTCATTCCTATGCAACACAGATAACACTTTTTCTTCATTTTACAATTTTCTCTTCTTTTTTTTTTTCCACAATGACATCTCAGGAGATAATAAAACCGAAAATGGAGAAAGAGAAAAGGAAGACGAGGCCAAAACAGTTAGAAAAGACGAAAACGAAGAACAGCCCTCACCAAGAGGCGTGCTGGAGGTCCGGGCCTCGTGTTCGGGCTCGGGCTCGGATTCGGATCAGGTAAGCATGAGCCCGGCTGGCGCCCATCTGGCTGGAGGTGACGTGGCAATTAACTACGGGAATTTGCAGTGGAAGAAGATGTTCGGGCAGGTGAAGAAAACGTCGTCGTCAGCGTGGAAGTTCTCGACCATGTCTCTGCTGCTGACGGGGCACGACCTGTCCAAGTCATCAAAGAAGATGTGGCGGAATAAAAAGGCGGGAAGGGGCCGCAGTAGTAGTGCTACTCTGGATGAGCTGGCAGGGGACGACAGGGAGTTTGTAGTGCCTAAGCCGTCTTGGAGGAATTTTACTTATCAGGAGCTCAAACAAGCAACCGATGATTTTAACTCCGGTAAAAAAAAATTAAAAAAATAAAAAATATTCCAACATATTATTTTATCATTATTGTTGTTGTTGTTGATGTTGTTTTGAATTATCATATAGTTGCGCATTTGAATTTTTTTCCGGATGAATTAGATTGTTATGTACACGTTATTTTTTTTTTAGGGGAAATGTCCTGTATTCATGATCCTTGCAATATTGTGTTAAATAGGACAAAATATTTAAGGTGTATATTGATCAGAAACAAAATATTAAGGTGTATATTGATCTGAGCAAATTTACCTTCCATTTCAAGATAGAAATTTCAAAATATTGTGAAAAGGTACATTGATGGGAATTAACGAAAATACACGTATTTTTAAGAACTCTTGATGAATCATTTACACGGGGTTGATTCTGTAACTCTATTACGAAAGAGACATTATTTTTTGCCTTCATTAACCTTATCCATTACTGCTGCTAATAAACTTGGTGGCTTATTATGAGCCTAATAAAAGGCTTTTTTTTTTTTTTTATAACATTTATTATTGTGGTAGCAATTTCTTGATCATTATCTTTTCTTCAATGATGAGGTAGTTGGAGAAATGTTTGAAGCCATAAATTAGTACAGAACACATATGCATGTTGTGTGACCAAAATATAGTACAGAAAATGAGTCAAATTTTAACATTTTTTGTTGTCTGAGTTTGAAGTAGGCAATGAAACCTTGGTATTTTTGCCTTTTGAAACTATTTTTATTCCAACTGTCCCACCAGATAAGTTGATCGGCAAAGGGGGACATGCAGAAGTGTACAAAGGATACTTACCGGACGGCCAAGTGGTAGCCGTAAAGAAAATAAAAAAGGAAAACAAAAAAGACGAAGATAGAGTCGGTGACTTTTTAGCCGAACTCGGGATTATAGCCCACATTGACCACCCAAACACAGCTAAACTCGTCGGCTTTAGTGCCGATAACGGCTTTCACCTCGTCCTCCAGTTTTCTCCGCACGGAAGTCTTGCCACTGTACTTCACGGTAATGCATTTCAAACTTCTTTCCCATTATTAATTCGCCCTAAAAGAATATAAGCCAATGTTGTGTAATGGAGATGTTCATGGTTTTCAGGTTGTACCGAGTGTTTAGAGTGGAAAATACGGTATAAGGTTGCAGTTGGAATTGCCGAGGGACTTCAGTATCTGCACTGCAATTGCCAAAGACGAATTATTCACAGAGATATAACCGCCTCAAACATATTACTCTCGGCAGATTCTGAACCCGAGGTTCGTTCATTAATTTTCTTCCATGTCAATGTGATCTTTAGTAGAAATAGCTATTAATCTTTAATTTTATTTTTTTTAACAGATATCAGATTTTGGGCTAGCAAAATGGCTACCTGAGGATTGGGGCCATCTTGTTGTCTCTCCAATTGAAGGCACTTTTGGGTATGGGAAAAATAATAGCCAAACTGCAGATATTTTCACTTTACTTCCATGTTAATCAACAATTTTGTAATTATTTTCTTGAAATTCAGGTACTTAGCTCCGGAATATTTCATGCATGGGATGGTAAACGAGAAAACCGACGTGTTTGCTTTTGGGGTTCTCTTACTCGAGCTCATAACCGGCCGCCGGGCAGTCGACTCAAGCAGTCAAAGCCTCGTGATGTGGGTATGGACTCATATGAATTCCATATTACACCAGCTCTTTTTTACTCTCAACCTACTGTAGTTCTCTGTGGATTAATTTTTTTTACTGTCCCCAGGCAAAACCACTTCTCGACAAGAACAACGTGAAAGAAATAGCGGACCCTCGGTTAGGGGAATCTTACGACTCTGCAGAAATGAGACGCACAATGTTGACAGCCTCAGCTTGCATTCACCACTCGCCCGACCCACGGCCAAACATGAAACGGGTACAAAAAAACTCGAGATTTATTGAGCTTCCATTTTACGTATTCTGAATTACGATTCATGCAGGTCGTGCAGCTTCTGAAAGGGGAAAGCGAAGGATTAGCGGACATGAAGCAAAAATCGATGGGCAGCCGCTCATTCCTCTTGGATGCATTCGAGTTGGAAGAGTATAATAGCACGGCTTACCTTAAGGACTTAAATCGTCACATGGAGCTCGTCATGGAGTGAAAAACATACATTTGATAAAAAAAATCCATTTTTTTTTGTAGTAATTTTGCTAGCATTCATTGTTGTGTACATTATTTTAGCTGTGCCTGCTGTTTGATTATCAGAGGTTTCGGAAGAGTGTTACTTTACTATAGATCGATGAGAAGTTAGAAGAGCCTGAGTATTTTAGCTATTTATGTAAGCCAATATATATTTTATAGCCATCTTGTAAATATATGTTTGTTTACTTGGAGCTTAGCCAACTTCTTCTGTAGCCAATTTTGTACAAAACTATCTGTTATTCAAATCAGAGAAAAATGCTCATTTTGAATCTCCATTTTACACAGGATGAGTACAGAATTGTAAGGAACCAGTCAAATTCTCTGCTGATGAAATCTTAAACCTGAATCAAGAACAACTCCACAATTCATTCACCTGATGACTAATACATAAGAATTTAGATGAGATAACAACCAAATCTTATAGCAAGACAGCAGAATATAGAAGCACCCGAGCATATATTAGAATCGGTCTCGATTTTAAACACTAAACCGAGCTAAAAAAGGAACCTGATAGATCAGTCATAGGAGCAGAATCTAGTAATGGAAAACCAGTTGAAAATTAATCCATAATATCCCAAGACAAAAGGCTACTCCATAGGAAGCTACTTACAGCATATATTAGAGCTTCTACCTAAGCCACAACTAAAGAAACAAACCCCCCCTTGTATCCTTCTTCAAGTCATTCACTACTTTTATAAAATCAAATGAAACAAAACAAATAGCAACTCCTAAAACCTTTCCCTGTCAAATGAAATGATCAGTTAACGATAAGTTAGAGCCACTAACGTCACATCTCAACTCATAATTAATAAGACTGGTGAGGCCAGATGAGAAACTCGCCCGCCAACGGCAGAAAACTCGCCGGAGCCCCCACGTCTGCTGAGCTGGCGGCAGCCGTCTGGCTGTAGAGGTGGTGTAGGAAGCTGTGGTGATGATAGTAAGGGGCTGAGCTGGCATCCAGCGGGACATCTGAAGGCGCCAGCTGGATTCCTGAGGAGACGGCTTCAAGGGAGGCGCCAGGTGGCGGCGGCGAAATGTTTTTCTGGTCGCCTTCGAGAGATAGTTTGAGGCGTTTGGCGGAGCCGCCTACAGGGAGAGGGCTGTTGGCGATGGCCTCAACGTCATAACGGCTCATCTCGAAATTTGTGACCGCATTTGTGCCCCGGAATTTTATGGCTGCTATGTCGTAAGCCTCGGCTGCTTCCTCCTCGGTTGCTGCCCGACCCAAAAAATATAAAATATTTAAACTAATTTCTAAATCTCATTAATAAATATAGATTAAGTTCTTAGGCATATACCAAACGTGCCGAGGTATAGATCTTTGTTCCCTGCAACACGGCCTATTCTTGCCTGCCAACGTCCTTGTTGGTGATGCCTGCGTAAGTTAATAATCGATCAACAAAAAATTATTCTTAGTTCAAATGTAATTAGAGATTTCACATATTTTTTTTAGAGAGGGAACTCTGAACCTTGTAACTCCCCGGTAAATTGAAGCACCCCTTGAGAAGCCGCTACTTTTCCTGAATGAAATTGCCAGAGGGTGTGATGAGAAATAGTTTTGCCTAGTTAAAGAGTGTACTAATTTAGAATTTACCTTCGGAGTGAGGCAATGAACTCCTGTCTTGTGGCATCCTTCATCTCCTCCATTTCCTTTGCATAATTAGCAACCTAAATATTTGAGATTTCTCTGTAGTTAGAAGCTAGTTCATGAAATTAAATGGAAATACGAAGAAGATGAGATATAATACAGGGAAATTGGTGGTAGCACTAGAACCCCAGTACTTGAGAGCAGCCAAATCATATGCACGAGCCGCCTTTTCTTCCTTGTCATACCCACCTATATAAAATTCCATGTATCAAATAGTATCACACACAATCACAGTAGTTAGAGATAACAAAAGGATAAAAGTAAAATGAAATGAGAGGAGGAAAAACAAAGAACATTTACTTACCCAAGTATACTGTGGCAGATAATTTTGATTCCAGCAAACATCAACAAGATATACACCGTAGAATTCATTCATGCAACAAATAAAACCCATTAGAAAAACTGCCCAAATAAGGGTTATTATTTTCACATGTGAAACAAATAGCAACATGAACAAAAGAGGTACTAAAGTATACTAAACACTTTTCACATACATGGAAGCTCTTTACTTTTTCTTCTTCAACAGTTTAGCAATTTTGTTTAGTTCAAAAACGCCAAGTCGACCCTAACCAATTTGATAATGTCATAAACTTAAAACAGAAGTTCAAAAAAACACGCATGGTCCCCTTTTTCGACTTCCCAATATGACAACAACATATGTCATCCTCCTATCATCAAGCAAGGTATCAGATAAACTTGAATAAGAGAACAATGTTTATGTCAAAATTACTTAATATAGCAACAGAGTATTAAATTCAGACTTTGGTTATTCTCTAAGATGGGGATAAAATAAATGATTAGTAATAGTAGATATGCTTCAAACTGGAAAACCATATATAGAAACAAGTGCACTTAAAGTAAACTCATTTAAAAAATCAGAAAAGAAAGGTGTAATTTCCAGAAAATAAGGTGGGCAGCAGCTAAATTCAAATTCCATGTGGGCAAGTGGGGACTTTGGTCAAACTCCCATTGTAAGTCATTATCCAAGTAAAAGAAAGAAAGCAAGGAAAAAACAAGTTAAACAACAATAAAATAAAGCTAAAGCTAAAAAAGCAGTCTGAAAAATTTTCAGAATTTCAGGCACCAGTGTTCAGACTAGCTAAGATAAATGTTTTGAAGTATGTTCACGGACCAGTTGGTGGGTCAATTTGGAGGCTATAAACAGAAAATGAGGACAAGAATTTCAATAACTCATATGGACAAAATTAACCATCTCTGGAACCTGAAGACCAACGTGCAAAAGAATCAGAAAAGATATAATAAAACCATACATTTATTTGTTCTTTAACAAAAATGAATAAAAATGACGGCCCATATCACCAAATCTATGAAAGATTGAATAAAATTTAACCAGGGGTAAAAAGATCCAAGTACAAAATCTTGTTCATTTTTCCCAATCAATCAATCATCATCAGAAATGTATGTATATATATATATATTAAAAAATATATGCAACTTTGCAGGTCTTTAACATTATGGGTAAATTCAATCCTACACTCATACATTTTATTTTTTTTAATTATTGTTAACTTAGATCACAAGCTCACATACAGGTGTGTTGATCCAACGTAAAACCGGGAGACAATAGTGCTCTTACAATCAAAATTCTCACTAAATTGAACTATATATCTATAATTATCATTGTGATTAATGTTTTTCTCCACATAATAACAAATTGTGAATTTGGTACGCAACAATTTATTATTCTCCCCCCAAGAAAGTAGCAGTTGACAAGAGCGTGAAAAGACTTGAAAGTTTGTACCTTGACGCCCTTTTCTTGCTTGGCCCTCCCTTCTACAGCTGTTATCCCATAGATGCGCTTCATATCTTCCCGTCCATCTGTGTCTGCTTCAAACCAACACATCGCCAAATTCAACTTCATTATTTCAAATGTTGGAATTAGTTTTCATATATAGCCATGCATGTTGAAAAAAGTTTTCAAAACGAAAAAGAATCAATTTTTTATAACAAATAGAACCTAGTGCCTAGCAATACAGTGCGAGGGCTCACTCAACATTGGAAAAACAAATCGAAATTAAAAACAATACAGTACCTAGTGACGCCTCTGTAAATGGAAGTCCTTTGACCAAACGAATCGCCGGTTTTCTTGCAGCTCTCTGACTCAGCAACAACAATGGCCTGACGATTATCATAAATATTATTATTATTCTTATTGTCATCGCCGATGTTGCTGATGTTGTTTCCCAAGGACAGACCGTTGGCTGTAGCCGTGAGGCACTGCGAGTATGCCACCAAATCGGCGGCCGAGTCAACCGGTGACCGAGTCTGGCCGCCGAACGCCGAGTCATCCACTTCCGAGCCCGAGTTGGCGGAGAAGGCGGGGAATCCGACGATGGCTTTCAGATCCTGCGGCTCGCCGCCCCCAAAGTAGGCCGTGGTGGGTGCCTGGTGGCGGTGGTCGTACATGTGAGTCAGGGACGAGTCTTGGGTCTCCGTCGAGTCCACGGCGGCGGCGGCCGCAGCCGCGGCGAAGAAGTCCTCGAGTTTGGGCTGCGGCTGCATATCGTAGGCGGACTTCAGCTCGTGATTTTGGGGCTGTGGGTACATGGGTTGAGCTTTCTGGCTCGGCCACCCTACTACAGACAGGAAAGAGAAAGTGAGAATGACAACAGCTGTATATTAGACATTAGCTAAAAAAAAAAGAAAAACCTGAAAATAAAG